TGCAAGGAATGGCTGGATAAACACGGCCCCCCCCCCCCCGTTTACCCAGCCTTTCCTTCCAGTGGCGTTTTCTTTCGTTTTTACCTGCGTGGTCTCCTTAAGTATGCTCGTCCTATGTTCTGCATTTCATCCTTTGAACTTTTCCAGCATGTGGCGCCTCTCTTTCTCCTTCTCCCTTACTCCGGGCGAGGGCACAAGAAGAGAGAGCTTGCTGTGCTTCCTTAAACCAATTCCTTCCAAGTCTCTCTCCCGCCCCCCTCGACACACACACACACACGCGATTTGAAAGCTTGTACCCTAGAAAGGGCCTCCCACCCCCGGCTTTTCTCTGGCAACCTTGCTTTGGATTGATTGCCACAGATAGAGCTTTGAAGGGAATAAAAGCCGTTTTAGAAAGAGAAATTTTTCGCGGTTGAGATTTCAAAAGAGAGAGAGAGAGAGAGAGAGAGAGAGCAGATCAATCTCTCGCTGGGTTTGATGGCAGGGAGGCGGAGAAGGAGGAGGGAGCGTGGTCCTTCACGGGTGGAAACTGACAGGGAGCGCTCCAGATGCCAGACTGTTTGAAAGCAAGGCGCCTTGGGACAAGTAGACGCTGGAATGCCAGGGCTGGGATAGACGGTGAGGAAGGAGAACACAGGCGCCGCCTTTTCCGAAGAGGAGCCGCGCGGGGAGGGGGAGTAGAGGAAGAAAGTGACCGCCTAGGTCCGCATAACCTGAAGGCTCCGGCTGGAGCCCTGGGCCGCCCAGGAGCAAAAAGAGCCTTCTAAACCGGCACCTGCTGGCGGGAGTCCGTCTGCAGTTGCAGCTTAAAAAGAAATCTTAAGAATTCATCGCTCCCAGTGAAAACTCCTCTTGGAAATCTCACATTTGTGTTGCTGCTTTGTAAATCGGTGTTTGCAAACTTACGAGAGCCGATCTTGTTACCGAAAAAGAAGTACCTCGCGTCCTTTTTGGTCTGCCTGCGTATGGGCGAAAGGGCTTTTTGAAGAGGAAGGTGAACTTGCAGGATGTCTTCGACTTCCGCCACTTTCCCTCTCCCTTCTCGTTCCCTGACTGCCCAGCCACCTTGCGTTCTGGAGACAGGTTTGTGCCACTTTGCCACCTTTCACATCGGACCCCCATCAACCTCTGCCACAGCCGAGAGAGGCAAGGGATGAGACTCCTAGCGTGGCGCCTCGCTGCCTGAAGAAATGTCTCTCGTCCAGTTTGAGGAGCAACACCAGCCCGAAGTTAAAGAGCCCTCAGTAAAACAGACCGACCCCACAAGGTGCTAGAAATCTAAAGCAAACCTATCTCGGGGCAGGGAATGACAGTGCTAAGCAAGGAAGTCTGCAGGCAGATATGTTTGCCTGTGTAGTTATTTCACCTAATGGCGCGTAGACAGAGCACGTATGTGCACCTTAAAAACATGCAATTCCCTGCCCCATGCATAATCAATTTTATTCTCAGATGATGCATAAAGTAGGGGGGAGAGGAAGGAATCCTGCCAATAAATTACCACTATGCTGGGTATTGTAAGCTAGGGCCTAACCTGCAAGTCAATTTTTCTATGCAGGACCTTTCGCGTGCCCGGTGCCCATTTTGGCTACTGCCATTTACAGTATGCTCGCCCAACCCCACCGGGAAGACCCCAAGGTTAATCGTGCTAAAGCATTCATAAGGTCCCCAGGAAGGCTTCCCCATTGACGCGGTTTTGGTGCGCAAGATTTCCTCTGTCCCTCGCTCCTTAGGCGCGCTTCCTGACTCTTTGCCACCTGTCACGGGAGGTGGCCGTTTCCCCTCTTCTGTCCCGAGTTCAGGCAGCCCCGATGGGCTGGAAACCTTGCTGTTTGTCTCCGGCCCAATTTTACCTTTGATGGATTCTCTCTGGACAACATGTGCCCGACACACAACCGCGTTGCAGGAGAGCGAATTTCGCTCCCTGCCTATCCAGTTAGGAATCGGTCCACATCCTGCTAGAGTCAATGGCAAGATTGCGACTGAATTTAACGGTTCTAGATCGCACCCTTAACTGGGAAGTCAGCATTACTTGTTTAAACGAAACTTTTATTAAAGTTTAAGTCCACTGGTTCTTTCTGTGCTTGTACTTGGAACTTACATTCCGGGTTAAAATCGCAGTACTGCCCACAAGTGAAGAAAACCCCATTGCATGTCAGGAATACTTCAGGTCCCTAGAAGTCAGATAATGATGCATTCATCATTCAAGTTCTTCTGAACTCGGAGGGACTATGTACATGTGCTCAGGACCGAAGTATATCTAAACGTCCAGGTAATTTCGCTCTTAAAAAACCGTAGACCTTGGGCACTTTTACATGGAGGGAAGAAGTCCCGCTGCTTTCAGCTCCCATCCACAGCATACTGGTACGAAATGCATTCCTGGCTGGGAAATAATTTCCATCGGCTTGACTTACTCCCAAATAATTGTGCACAGGAGTACAGAGTTAGCACTGGGTCACTGATTTGGAAGGCTGCAAAAGAAGGGCTGCTAGGATTCCCTCCCTCCCTGCGACTCCCTTTAGAAAACTGAGTCCAAGCCTTCGACCTCTCGGATCTTGGTTCAACCCAGGATGCACGCTTGGCTGCGAAGAAAGCCTATTCTGGTAAAATTGGATAAGCTCTGGCCGCAAACCACTCTTAACACCTCCTAAGTGCACAGGGAGGAGATACATAATAGAGGGCGAGGGCGGGGGCGGGGGAGGGGGCACGGTGAAAGGCAGGAGGTGGAGTGATGATGTACAGAATTTATAAGACTGGCCATCAGACGCTGCCGCGGCATCAATCCTCTTCAAATAAAGCCGAGAAGAAGCAAGTCCGCCAAGCACGTCTCTCTTCTGACTCCTTTCCTTTCTCTTCCTTAAGAAAGCAGCCACTCTCGGGAACGCCGAAGAGGGTTAACCTGGAATAAACTTGGCGCTACCTATGGCAGCCACCCGCCGGGGCCCTGGGCGACCAAAACCCCAGGCGTGAGTCTGAGCGCTTGGCGTGTAGCTTGCCTTTGCCTGCAGAGCTCAGCTCGGGAGAAGACTCAAGAGATCGCACCTGCCCGAGCCCGCCAGCAAGCGGCGGGGCCGGGCGGAGGGCTCCGGGCGAGGCCGCCCCAGAGGCAATTGTAGGCACGGTCAAGGATGCTTCAACCCTGCTCGTGACTTGAAGGCTGCCTCCTTCTGGGCGAAGCTGCCTCGGAAGGGGGGGGGAACCTCGTCGGGCCAGACGATGCCCCCGATCGTCCTTCGGCGCTTCAGCCGGAAAGGCTGCCCACGACGCCCAACTTGAGCGGCGCTAGCCCGGAGGCTCTGCCGAGCCAGCCGCGCCTCCGCGAGCCCCAGAGCGATCCATGCGCGCCAGGGGACGGTGAAGGGATCCGCGAAGACCCGCGAGAGAAGCCGAGGAGGATGGCGCGTCTCGGCCTCTCCGC